TGAGGCGGAGAAGTGTGTGTGTGTGAGATTAAAATAGCCCAATTGCTTTTACAATAAATAAACATTGACTGTGTTTAATTGAATAGTAAAGGGGTTCAACGTTAGTGGCAGGTTGTGTGTGAGAGAGAATAAATAGCCCAATATTTTTAAAAATTGTTATTCTTTCCCCCCGCATATTTAGCAACTTTCCGCATATTTCGCAACTTCCCGTAATTTCACCGCATAAAATCACATAAAAACTCTGCATGTTTAATCGCATAATCAAGGATTTTAGCCCTCATAATCAAGGAATTTAGCCCGCATAATCAAGGATTTTTGCCCGCGTTTTTCTGGAGGGTCTAATGAAATGCTTGGTAAACACGACAAAGAATGAAAGGACTGACAGAGAAAGAGTTCAGTTTGCGAAGAAGGTGCATTCTCTGTTGACCCCGCTTCACAATACACTCAGTATTCACCATCAAATTTTAGGTGGTCATCGAAAATGGTGCCCAAGTATTTATATGATGTGACCATTTCAACCTTGTCATTGTGTATGATGCACTCCTTAGGAACATCCTTATGACGTCTAAAATCAATGATCAATTCCTGGGTTTTAGAGACATTTAAATCCAGAAAAATGTCATCACACCAGGAAATAAAATCAGTAAGAGCACACTCGTGGCATTATAAAAAGTAGGGGCAAAAGAACGCATCCTTGAGGCGAGCCTGTGGAAGTGATGACAGAGTCAGAGAGGCGTCCATTGACAGACACCTTCTGCAAACAAAAGCCTAGCATGGGCTTGTGGCTTTTCAAGGTGTTTGTGGAGGGTGTACAGTATAAAAAGCTTTTCATCCTCTACGCCTCTCCCTGCCTGATACGCAAATTGTAGTGGATCAAGTTCATCACCTACTTGACATGACAAGGCCTTAATAAGATTTTCCCTTTTATTTACTTGATTGTGATGATGTTATAATGCTGCTTTAAACTTTCAATGAGCCACATGAAAACTAACTTATATAATAAGATTATTACATTTATAAGAGAACAGAACACTTTAATTTGTAATTGTCTTCCTACAAAATATATCCACTTGAAAAAATGTATAGATAAAGAAATACAATATTCAATTTACCAAATGACGCCCAGATTGACTTCAAGATTGCCTTCAAGATTGCCCAGAGAATCCAAACTGCTCCAGACTTTATTGCAGCAAAAATAGCTGCTACTATGGCATTCAATGAGATGAAACCCATTTTATCCAAAATATCAGGAGTCACATCCTCAGTCCCTGCACCTCCTGTGAGAATAATATAAAAGAATAAACATTTATGAGCCACAATTCTGATTCTGAAATTCAAAGAAGAATGTGGGTGTTAGTGGTTATATTAGGTTTTACCTGTGGCATCAAAGTATGCCTCACCTGTAAATGAAAAAAACAAAAAAAAACATGTTATCCCCACTCAGCACAAATATGTTCTGATTAATATAAAGTAACAGTATTGAATGTAGAAATGTGTACTCACAAATTATTTCCATCTTCAGGCTTTGGGAATGAGCGTCTGCCTTCTCTATCAGGTGTGAGACATCAACTGAGCTCAAAGGAAAGTGTTTATCACCTGTGAGTCGGTTTGGTGAGGCTGGATATATTTAAGTTTCCATTTCCCAGTACAACACTGTCATGTGTGACGATACCATCATGACATTTAAAGGGCCCATGTCATGGCCATTTCTACTGATCATAATTCCATTGTTGAGGTATACTAAAATAGATTTATACAGTGCAATTTTCCAAACTCACATTGGTTTCTCATACAGCATCTCTGTAAAGTAAGGCCCATTCCCGAAACGCACCCTACCCCTCCGTTTGGAGAGGGGTCTGCCTGCAGACCTCCACTCTCAGGACAGTTCCGGTGCAGACCTCCACTCTCAGGACACCTCCACTGTCAGTACAGGAAGTGACGATTCTGTCTTGTGCTAGAATAGTGATGCTAATGATAGCTAATTCAGAGCTCTCAAGTCCCACGCATTTGGCGTGAGACACACGCATTTCACTCCATTCACACGCTCACACGCCACACCTTGTATTTCTCACGCTCACACGCCACACCTTGTATTTCTCACGCTGAGATTTCTTTCCAGGGTACCGCCCACCAAGTTGAGCCGCAATTTTGTAAACAAAGTAGGCTTGTTTGAGACGCGTGTACAGAGGGCTTCATGGGAACTTTGAGGGGAGCCAGAAGTCGGAGTACCAAACAGCGCTGCCAAAATCTCACTCTGAACTCTGTTCAAAACTTGAGAGCCCTGCTAATTCCTAATAGCAGTATGTGTGTTGTTTGTACAGTGCTACTTATATGTTATGTAAAGCCTGCATACTTATATGTGTTTTATTTCTGTATTGTTATAGTTTTACAAAGTAAAAGAAGAACAGTAAAGTCAAGAAAGAAAACCTTGCATCTTTATTGGAGGACTTTTAAATGTTAGCTAACTGTCTAACTACGCATTGGGATACAGTAAGGGCAGAACAGTTCAATCAATCTAAGTGATGAAAAGTGATACTGTACTGATATTAACTACAATACAAGGTGTCCCTATATATATATATACATACGCGGCGGAGGTGGGGAGGTTGCAGCTGGGAACCTCCACCCCGCTGCGGGACCCGTGAAGGAAGAGACACGCAGAGTGGGGGAAGTCCCCCACCCCAACGCAGCACACCCTCCCGGCCATCAGAGTCGAACCCGCAGTTCGGAGGAACCGACCGCCAGAGCACCGGCACTAGGCCGGGCCGGCGCGGAGGCCCTC